AACCAGACCATTTCCTTGAGTGAGACCGATATCAAAAAATAACAAAAAATAAAATATTTCTTTACACAGAGGCATTTGAGATACTAAAACGTTTTAACATATAAGATATATTATTGACAAATGAATAATATGTGAACTATAATCATTCATACCTCATTTTATCTTTTGTAGGGAATTCTGTTTTGTGAATTTTCTGTCTTTCTAATGCAGTATGCCAAGGACAGTTAACAGGGACTGCATTCCATTTCAATATCCTTCGTCCAAGAAGGCTTTAAAGTCTGTGGTTTACAGTCTTCTAAGCGAAAGAAAAAATGTGAGTATTGGGAGTTATCTGAAATCATTGGATATAAATATCACATAATGAATGTATAGTATTCAGTAAGTGTGTACAAGAGGTAATAATAAATAAATAAATTCATTATAAGCTTTACCTTGAAGTCGCCTTGACAGACTTTTACCAACCATATAAAACGAAGTTCTGGATTACCAGGAAAACGATGAAATGATATATTGTTATCAGCTGTAGATTTGCTGGTATTTTTTTATTTTGATGATCTATGAAATATATAAACTATACACTTTACTTTTGACTCTTGAGAAAAACTATGTTGTTATAATGTTAATTTCGATTATTAAGCAAAGCGAGGCAAAGCGACTAAAGATATGTCCTCCTTATTAACAAAATGTATGTTTAAAACTCAGTTTCTTTGTGTAGTACTCGACATCAGTGAAAGTTAGATAGGGAATAGTGTCAAGACTTACAGTTTCGCTGTCGTAAAATGAACATATAATGTGTCAAAGTACAATAAACTGCATCAAAATTGTTGTATTTACACATTTTCTTTAGTTAATAAAAAAAATATCACTTTATTAAATATTCCAATAAAATACAATTTTGAATCAAATATATTTAACTATGTACAATAATAAATAAAYAAGGTTAAAAATTACATGTTTTCGTTAAAATTTGAAAAAATAGCGTCTTGACGTCTTTAGTTAATTAACTACTAAGAAAAGTCCAAAACTGAAGTGATTTTTTTCAAAAGTCCCGCTTAACTAAGGTCAGGTTACGAAAAATGAAGSTCGTGATAAAAATCTAAACTTCACACATGCCCATCGTTTATGTCAAGAAAAACTCTGTTTTTTGAATTTATATTTCGATTTCTAGGCACAAATCAACAGCAAAAGYAACTGAATGTATATTTCTACTACGAAAAGGTATGTTACTACGTAGAAATGGCATTACTCACCTTTGTTTTGACGACAAAAAAGCTGGCTCTGYCATCTTTGTTTACATTTTTGTCATACCAAAAAGTAGTTGCGTGGCCAGCCACAATGGCGGATTTGATCAAGTGATCGCTTAGTGCAAATCGCCCATTGAAGACTGGCAACTCAACTTTACATCACTTYACTTGTTTACAAAGCACTTCTTCGCCCATGATCATTTGAATTACGCAAGAATGATGCCTCTGTACCTTGCTGAAATGCAGATGTTACAGCAATCGGATCCTGAGCTATATCAAGAGTTTCTTAATGGCAGCTGGGTCATCAACAAAAATCCTGGTGTGGGTATTCTATTCAACATCAGGACCAACGCAGCCAGCCTCGAGGTATCACCAACAACAACCACTGTCAGCCTCGAGCTATCACCAACAACAACCACAGSCAGYCTCGAGCTATCACCAACWACAACCACWGYCAGCCTCGAGCTATCACCAACWACAACCACAACCACAGSCAGCCTCCAGCTATCGACAACTACAACCACAGCMAGCCTCGAGCTATCACCAACTACATYCACAGCAAGCCTATCAACAGCAAACTCCACAGGGATGGCAGTGGCATTCTGGTATGTCTCCGCACCCGTATACACTTTGCAAACTTCCTTCCGCWGCAAAGAAATGTTACAGGTGTGGCGAAGAATTTGCGACGAAATACAGAGAAGCCCCCAATGACATTGTGGTTAAACACGTCGACAGGCGTATTCGGAGGCGCAACGACCAAACTGGAAATCTGGTTTACGCGCCAGATTTCACAAACTGCTACTATCACCTTATCAGTAGCCATATGCGAAAAAAAAATCCATTATTTGGTCGGGTGCAGACGGAGTTCAACACGTACAACGCCCTTTCACATGGGCAGCAAATGAGCATTGCCTCATTTGATTTTGATGTTGATTTTGTATAGCTGTTTTATTCAATTCAACATGTTTGAGAGTCGTTGCATAAACGAATAAATGAASGATTAATGGACACTTAAATGAATGAATTTGCTATTTCAAGTGGGAATTAATTCCCCAATTTTTTACAAATAAAAACTGGTTAGCTATCGTTCCATCTYGGGATCCCTTTGGTATTCTGYTTACTGGTAGGATCATGGATCAAAGCCATGCATCAAATTTGCTCTTTCTAATCGTGGTACAAAAAGAAGAATTTTCTATGTATACCCTGCCGGGTATATTATTTATAGTGGCGTGCCTGCTTCATTGCTAASATTTGTTTATTATATATCGTTCGTGTTTCCATTGGCTTGACGGCATGTGTTCATTAGATAGTAATAATAAWATAGACATATGTATAACTTAGCTTAATAGTTATTGGTTAATAAACTATCCCTATGAGTGTTTATTCTTTTTTCCAATGTTTTTAAATATTTTTTTTTATTTTAATGTTCATTTATATAACTCGTGTTCAGTCGTGGTCGCTCATTTGTGACTCGTGGTCATTCGTGGTCACTCGTGGTCATACTCGTGTGGAGTTTTAGAACAGATCTACTAGATACCGTAGAAGAGATGAGACTAAGACTATTCTCGAGTATGTTCATGGGTCTTTTGAGGCATCTTTGTATGGTGTTTGGGATTTTTTATCTACTTATGCAGAAAATGCATTAATGTGTAAACTAATGAGTTATTACAAAAGAGCGAATTTATTCAGKGTATTTTTGGTAAAGCTGTCCAAAAGTCAGAGGAAGCACTTAGGGTTAACAGTCAGTAGCTTTTAAATATCAAAACTATTTATCTAGAAGATCATATCAGCTTGTATGCAAGACGCAWAGCTCTTTTTTCAATAATGATAAAGAGGTGTGGCTGCCACGAAACATGAAGTGTTTAAGTGTAGATCTTAGGCTCTCAAAGCTCAGTTTATCTGATTSAAGTGTTGATAAGTTTGTGAAAAGCTTAGATATTGGCCATGTCAGTCAGATTCCAGATACTCCAGGTGTTACTAGAACAGTCACAGGTTTGACATTCATGATAATTGATTTACATTAAGGTGCCACATCTAGCTAGTAAACTTACTTGGTTTAATGAAAATGAAAATCACTTTTCAGTTCTATGATGACGGTGCACCCTAGACGAGCMAACAAACCATGTCTATTGGYAGCATGGTATGTTGGAATTTTGGAAATGAGGTACGAAGTAGAGATTATCAATATCTTTTACATTGTGTAAGTGTTGGTGAAAAGGATCAAATAACGCAACATCTTTGGAAACAACACACAGATGAAATGGAAATKATAAAAGGTAATGTGCTTAAGATATATAATGAACAGTGTACTGTGGAATTTCAGCCAGGTGCTGATATGTCCTGGCAGAGCTGGGCTGCCAATGAACTCAACCAGGYTGCTACCTATCCTTCACCTTATGCTAATGTTTGCAAAGGGAACATGAACACCATGGGAGGAAGTATTGGTCCTGAAAACCATTGCATTGAAAAAAATTAAACAACTCGATACATTTCTAACTTCACTTCCAGCAGGTACTTCAGAAAAGAGCAGACATTCTAGACAGTTAGAATTTATGGCTGAAAATGGATTACGCCTATTGGGTCCACCAAGAATTGTCAGTTATGTCAGCAAGCTAAGACCAGAACCAATGCATTGCGAGATTAATGCTTGGCAGCACTATATTGACCTTGTTTATATAGAGGCAGTTAGAAGAAAGCAGTTTGATACATTTCTTTGTGTTAGGGGCAGCAGTGGGAAGCAGAGTTTTGGATAATGTGACCAGAAGTCAGGAACCTTTGAAGTCTTGATGTTAATCCTATTCCARTAGCCAGCCATGAATCTGTTGGTGAACGTGCTAGACAACAGGACTTTTTGGAGAAATCAGAAATTGAATTTAGAGAAAGTCTTAAAAAAGCATCTAGAAATCATGATGTCCAGCTTGTGTCCAATCRGCATGTTGGGCTTAGGGTATCTAGCTTCGAAAATAAAGGAGCATTATAATAATGAATCCACTAGGCACAATAAGTTGCCTATTAGAATTATTGGAAKTCAAGCTATCGCTTTGGCTAGGTATTCATTCCRTTTAGTTGATTCATTAAAMTGTGATGGTGAATCTGAAGCCCTTAAAATCAAACGATGGATGCAGGTGGACTTTTTAACAGAAATTAGCTTACTGTTGTCCAGATAGCAGAGATGGGGGAAGTATGTCAATTGCTGCCATAACAATTGTCCAGGCCCATTGGCCCATTGGCTATGCTATTCCCTATCATGCTGGTTTGCTTTATGAAAAATATAGAATTGTTTATGTTATTGTGTCTTTACAAGCCAATGAATCAAAGCATGCTGGTGTAAAAAAGGCTTCGAGTTTAACTAACCGYTYCAATGTAAGTTTKTCTGTTGGGAAGTGGTGGCAGGTAATGCGTAGTAACTATGTTAGATCATTTTACTTGGCAGAGCATCAGCCTGTACCACCCTCACATATTTCACATTAGCAATGCCGTTGTYCTCCACAATGTAGCCAATCCAATGTTTGTAGATGTGAGACRGAAAAAGACTGTATCTAGACTTGTAAAATTCATTAATAATTCATTAGGGTATTATCCAATGGTTATCAACAACTTTAGTCACATGACAAGTTTGTATTTCCCATGTAACTTCAAGCATGGGGAGGGCTGAATAGACATCAGGGAAAAGTTGAGGTTGATGAAAGCAATACAGAATACTAATTAAGCTAATTAGTATTCTTAAAAACTCATACAGAATACTAACTAGCTTAATTAGTATTCTGTAAATGTGAAACAGAATACTTATTAGAACAACGTTATCACAGGTATATGAATCATTTATTCCACAACTTTACTTATTAACCAAATTAAATGTACAATTATTAAAGACTGAAAATGGGAAGTAGTTCACATTATTATCAATAGGCATTGGAATATTTGCTAATTCTTCGTTAGTTATATCAAGGTTGAACGTTTCTCCCAAGTTATCTGATTTACTTTCTGACGAAGTTGAAACTGAAGGACCCAAAATCTTACTAACTTTTTGGACCTGTTCTTCACTTGCTTTCTCATAATTAAATAGAGCATTGGAAGTGTGGCCTGTTCTCTCTCTTGTTGATTTTTCTTCAACTGAGTTTTGAAAAAGCCTCGAAGCACATGTTATACGCAAGGAATGAGCTGTTTTCCGTTTCAAACCAGCTTTAAGACACAATTTTTCAGGCAAAATTTTGTTTTAAGTGTTTAACCCTACAGGACTTTTTTCATATATAAACTTCCCTTCACGATTTGGTCGAAAATAAAAAGCATCCACTTTATCTGCTAAACTACTAATTTTCATCATATATAAGGAATACATAGACTGCAAACAAATTTCATGTGACTCACCTACATTATGACAAACATGCTTTATGTAACGCGGCTTTTTTGAAACATCTTTCAAACCGCCAKGAAAGGTTTTCGATAAACTTTCATCAAAAATWATTGTATTCTCTTGAACTATGATATTCGATGCTCTTAAAAGTCTATGCTCGCTCGCCCGAAGGCCAAAAAGCTTTCCATTGAAAAAATACATAGTATGCAATAATGACTCAGCTGTACTGGTGCCAAGACCTTTTTGCCACATGATTTTTTCTTCATTTTCTGTGATTTCTTCTCTGCTTTCCTTGATGGACTGATTCGCTATTCCAYGCTTTGTCGAGTCTTTCATTTCTGCATCTAGCGACTTACAAAACAATGTGAATCTAAAAGCAAAAAAACAAAAAACATCAATGTGATAAACTAAGCATGAAATCCAGAGTAAAGATTTTATTCCGTACCTTCTATCAGATTTGTCGAGAATGTTTGCTTTGTCTTCTCTTTTGCTGTCCTTTMAATRTCGATTTAGTACACAAACCAAGAGATAAAGTGTTTTAGGCGGGTAACGTCCTCCTTTCTGATTTCTAACCTCTCCTATAAATTTTATTAGCCAAAAATTTATCGTTTCTGGACTCATGTCCAGAAGTTTAACAGCRAGGCTTCCAACGACGTGCAGATTTATTTCGCCATAGCCAAGACTTTCTAGCTTCGGGTCTTTATTCTTTCTGGACGTTTGCCATTCTTCAAAAATCTTTAGTGCCCACTTAGTATTGTACACGGTATTTTTCGGTGTCGAGTCCTCAAGTAATTTTATTTCTTCTTCTACGCTTTTTGGCGAAGCAAACCGCGAATTAGACGCCATAGTTCAATCAACGAGTGGAAATAAGAAATGACTATGCAACAATCACTTAATGCAGCAAGCCAAGAAACTCCCTTGGGAAGCTAAAAAAAAATTTATTGCTCAATTCATTTATTAGAATATTTCAGTGAGCATAATGAAGTATTCATTTATTTCACAAGTGAGATACAATATTCGCGTCCGATCCGCCTATCGGCTCGCCATTGTATATCCCATACAGATCGGCCGCTCATATTGTATCTATCACTAGCAAATAGCTTTTTGAGTTACTGTAGTATAAAAGTAGATCTTCTTAGTTACACTTCTTGATATGAGCAAATTATGTACAAAACAAGATATATATTGTGGAAGACAAGATTTGGTTATAATAAAGAGATTAAATATGATTAATAATTAAAAATAAATAAACAATATCTAAGCATATGAAAGTGAGATTAAATTTGAAATGAAATTGAAAAAAAAAATGTACTTTGTTATATGTATATTATTTATTATCTGCACTAAGGTTTTGGGAAATAATTCACTTAAGGTTACTAYTGTCATCATTTAGACATGTCAATTTTCAAATGAAGAAATATTAGGGTAAAGTCATTGAACATATGACACAAAATTTAACTATAAATTAAAGTGTGATTGTCAATAGACAAAAGAAAAAAACAATTGCAGCATACTGAAAAAGGCATATTTCACAACCATGTTGTTTTGACTTTATTCTGCTATCTCAAACTTCTATCCTAATARTGCTAAATAGAACTCATGTGGTATATAATAGACAATAGAAAACTAAGGACTGCATCTCTGAATACAATACAGTTATGTAATATAAATCATTGCTTAAGTTTCATGTGCACTCAAGAACAATAACTAGTAAGTTTACAAAGTATTGCAAACKTTCACTATTTGTACTCTTTGTTTTTCTAAATATTTGTATAATGTTTAATGACTTTTAAGAAACTTTCGATTGTTCCTGGATTTCCCATTGGGGAYGCAATGGCTATCACCTGTTTACACTGCTGTGTTCTACTGACAAACATCTTCATCCCTCCATCTGCCATCTTGAGATGATGGTTAAAAATGCTTATWTTTGAACTTGAATGAACTCTTGGAGTAGAGTCTGTCACAACAACTACTGATTTACCCTTACAAATCTGCATGATTCAGTTCTTGCAACGTATTTTCTCAAAGTGCCTCTTAACAAGTACATTTTCGCATTCCAAACGTGCAGGAGACCAAATATTCTCTGCAGTATCAGGTCTAGTTATTTTCTTTCCGTCCTTTGTTTCGACTAGTCCTCAATATCCAGAAACCAAAACCATTAAATGCTTGAAGGTAGGGAATGGGATAAAAAGCAACAAGGAGTCATAAGACCTGTCATTCGCGACCTTCCAAGCTTGGAAGTAATTGTAAGACCAATTTCCTTTATAAAACTATCAAGAATAGGCCAACTCGCGTATATTGCCAGTCAGTTCTTCTAAAACTGGATCTATACTTCTCATTCCATAGTTGGGTTTACTCTTGGCAATACAAACCATTTTCATCCAATCTTTCTCAATAAAGAACTTCATCTCTACGGAATTTTTGTTCCAAAAAGCTTTTCCTCTTTCCGTTTCACTGCCTGTGCCAAATGGCATTAAATTTAGCTCGGTGAAATCCTTGTTATTTGCCGCCATCTTGACTTTGTATTTACGGGGGGTAACCCCTGGTAGATTCTGAGCCAGCGAGGCGGGAGGTAATCCTGACACTGATGTCTTCATCTTGTCACTCAGAAGACAACCAGACCTTTGCCGTAATACTGTTTTTGTCACTGGTAAAGGGCAGAACCATCGCGCATGAGATAAAAGTACAGCCAATAGTAAATGTTGTTGGTACTGTCAAAACAGCAGCACTGCCCGCCTTCCATGTGAAAATATGCCAGATGAAAACATTAATGAAAACGAAGGTGATTGCACCGATGTTGACTAGGAAGAGAACTTGTATTTCTGTAAAAGTAAAAAATGAGAGACAACGCCAGGATTTTAAATATATTGTTTGTTTTCCAGTCTTGAAAGTTAAATTAGTATGGCTTGAAACGATACTGGTTAATAGAACTAAGATGACTAGGACCATTCATCGCAGTTTGATGCACTTGAGCTTCGCAAGCCGATAATTGTACTGATATCTGTTGAGCTACGGGTACATTTTCATTTTAGATGTACTATTCGATAGCGAACTCAAAGATGGTGCAAAAACTGGCGGCTGTTGTTGTGCAGTCGCTGTATCCGCTTACGTATCAACTGTATAATATGGAGTACATTGGCGCTTGTAGCACTCAATGACATGAGATTCCAGTCGTTCGCCTCTGGAGGAATATTCTTTCCCAGTGTTTTCTGTAGGATTAACAAGTCTTTGTCTAGAGCCTGGCGACTAAGATACTTGATTGGGTCAAGCTGTTTAAGTCTAGGTCCCATTACGGCAAAAATTGTCTCGCCCTCGCGTCAATTGCATTTTAAACAGTTCTGTTTTGTGGTGTTCAAGTTATTTTTGAAACTCGCAACAATTTTGTGTCCTTCAGAAACTCTTTTCTTTATTTCAGGGTGTTTATCCTTTAATCCTCAGTAAAGAGATGGCTTTCGCAGGTACAGGATGACATAAGCTACAGCAACTTTCAAATTCTTGGGAGCCTTTCAATACCGATTTTGGAATAGCCAGTTCTTCGGACATATTTAGAACTTCGTCGACAAAATACAACTTTTACCTCGTTTTGCCTTTGTTTAACGTGCAGTGGATGAGACGGACTGGATTGTGAAATTGGCGGGAAGGCAACTTTATCTCAAGGCCTTCAAAACTTGAATATGGTATAGAGATTTGTCCAATATAGACGACTTGTTACGATTTGTGATATGTATTTTACCAATGGTATCTCTTCGTGAAGTCAATTTCATTGTGACTTTGTGAGTATATTTCACTTTAGTTGACTTAGATATTTCGAAACTGCTTTTTTGAAGTCGAGAAATGAGATATAAGTTTATCGTGTGCGACTTGCAGAGGCTGGAGAGAAGTTATATCGGTTTTTATTAGATATGGTATCCCTGTGCAGCTGTGCAAAGTCTTACCATTGGTACCGATGGAACCATTGGTAATAGACTTATACCAGTCGTGTCCAAGGAATTCAATTGGTGAATGATTAACTTTATGTCGTCTGGGGCGAGAGGCTCATGGAGAACAGTCGTGTTCAAATGAGCTCCTGAAAATTCAATTTTTCAGGCTCCTGAAAAATTCAATTTTCAGTCAGAATTTCGAGCTAAACTATTAGCCTAGTAAGTGAAATTGTTATGAATACCAGAAAGAATAAAAAAAAACTACGAAACAGCAAAAGGAACAAATGAGTGACAAGGAAGCCAGCTTCCACGAAGAGCAAGAAGCACATGGCGAGGACGAACCCATCACGAAYAGCGGTATTTGGAAGTTGCTATGTAAAATCCAAACAGACATAGCCAAAATATTGGACGAGAATAAACAACAAAGTCGAATTTAACGGATAGAGAGCTTATACTATCCATGGCAGAGGCTTTAAAAGTTGACTTGGACRACAAAGACATGGATATAGTACACCGTCTGAGGGTCAAGAATGGGACGCCACCAATAATTATACGTTTCTCAACATACCAAKCCAAACAAAGRTTATACATGGCAAAGAAGCTCACACGTAATGTGGATTGGAGCGCAGTATTTGGTTATCAAACTGCAGTCTATATCAATGAAAACTTAACAAAGAAACGAAAAATTTGTTCATGGAGACGAGAAGAGCAGTTAAACTAAACCACTGGTTTGGATGCTGGACCATCGACGGGAAAATCKTTCTAAWGAAAACAAAAGAAGCCAAACCGTACATCATCCACACATCAGAGGACATCAACAAACCATGAATGGTATTCATTATTATATAAGTATAGGCTATTTAAATTATCTATGAGACATTTAGTACTCTGACTAGTTGAGCAGATAAGAACCCAATTATAGGTACTAGCCATAGTCATAGTTGTTTTTGTCTTGGTATATTTCCATCATTCAAAATTTTAATTCCTCTTTCTCTGCGCTTTCGCAGAGAATGTTAGCTGTGTATTGTTTTTGTTATTCGTAAATGTAAAATTAATAGCACCATTGCAATAGGTGATGCTGTGAGCCAAAATATATAAGATCTTTCAAATTTTGTTTTCGAAATCTTCGCAACTTAACCTATTTTTTTTGTTGATATGTATATTTTTTTGATGCATAGATATGCAAAATTTTAAGTTTCCATTTTAAGTTTCCTGAGGGGTTATAAGAAAAATAGAAAGGTGTTTAATTGGTTGGTCAAACACAATAGTGAGGAAGGGGTTTGTTTTTGCAAGAAACGCACAGCACAGTGGACATTAAAGACGAATGGTCGAGGAGAGTAAGAGGTGATTCCAAAAGTCTCACGGTAATTCCAAAAGTAGAGGAACATCAATTCTGTTTGGCAGCAAATTAGACTATTGTATAAAAGATAAGAAAGTAGATAAGAATGGTGGATTTGTGGTAGTTCTTGCCACAATACAAGGTAACAATTTTCTTTTGATTAATTCGTATTTACCAAATTTGGAAGAACAACAGATTTCACCAATGAAAGAATTATTTGAACTAATTAGTAATGTTTGGTTAAACAAGTTAGGACAATTAGTAATGATCTGGATATCCCAGTAGACACAATGATTATCTGGGGTGGGGATTTTAATTTCATTTTAGATTTGGACCTCGAAGCTTTAGGAGGCAACCCTAAATTAAAATCAAACTCGATAGAAACTGTTAAAACAATTATGCTAGAGTGGGATCTTTGTGACATATGGAGACTAAGAAACCCTATTTCAAAACGTTATACATGGAGAGGGGTTGAACAGGGGAAAAAAAGTAGTTCAAATGGGCAACTTCACAGGAGATTAGATTTCTTTTTTGATATCATATGAATTACAGGCCTTTAAAGATAAGTGTGATATTGTTCCTGCTCC